GGGCCCTGGGTTGCATGCACTTCCCAGGTCTAAGCTGCTCAGGTTCAGGTTCTGGGGTACTCCACAAAGGCGCAGACTTGGTTGGGCCTGCATTTTCTGCCCTTCCCAGCATTGGAGCAGCTCAGGTGACCAGGTGTTTGGCGAGCACAGTTGCCCCCCATTGGAGGCTACGTCTGAATGCCTTCCCTGTCCCAACCCCTCTGTTTTCTGGGTGTACAACGGGCGTGCCTCCTCAGGTGTGCCATGTGTCTCTTCTGGGGAGCTGATCTCTGGTTGTGACCCTCCCAGTGGATGTCGACCATCCAGAATCCCAAGAAGTCTTCGTTCACAATGAATCCTGCTTGCAGTTTGGTAGAGGATGCCTCTCTGGGGTCGCGATTGCCTCCTTCCAACTCTGGCTGCCCTCGCCTGCCTGTCTCTGGTTGGGGATGGGCCAGTCCACAGCTGGCTAGTTCTGCTCAGTCCTTTGTTCTGTGAGCAGGCCTGGTGATGTCTTTGGTTAGGGCTTTTTGTAGGATAGCTATCCCACAGTCTGGGAAGCTATCTCAAGTTAGTTCAGTCAGATTGCCCTCGGGGCATGTAGGCTGGTCCTTACCCTAAGCAATGCAGCCTGGGCCTCTTTCTCCAGCCCCTGCTTGCTAGTGGCCTATGCAAGCATCTGGGCTGCTTCTCTGCTGGGCGTTGACGTTAGGCATATAATCTCCTTTCGAAGAAAATGGGCTGCCTTTCTGGGTGTCTGATGTCCTCTGCCAGCATTCAGAAGTTTTGTGGAATTTGCTCAGCCTTCAAATATTCTTTTGATGAATTTGTAGGGGAGAAAGTGGTCTCCCCATGCTATTCTTCTGCCATCTTAGGACCACCACCAAAATGTTTTTTCCTGGCTCTGATTCTTATCTCTGGTGGTTTCATTCTCAAATGTAAGTTATTTGATGGTGCTTTTCTCTCCCTCTGATAAGGAACTGTTAATATAGGAAACAACCCAAAACTAGATATTTTAATTATTAGATTGTATTGAGTAGAATGAATACTCTTTAGTCCTTTTAAACCATAAGATTAATAATAGCTTGGTTTTAATCGATGCTTACCATGTCACAAGCATGTTTTTATATTTATCATGGTCACCATCTTATAAGGTAGGTGGTACTGTTATTCCCATTTTTAACGGCAGAGGAGAGTAACACTTAGAGATGGTAAACTTTCAAGGTTTTCTCAAGGTTTCAGAATCAGTGGAATTCAGATCCAGGCAGGTTGATTCTAGTACCTGTTTTCTTATTTTGTAAAGAACATAAATCTTTTAAATTCATGAATCAACAATCACTTCCTTCTATGCATTTTCTAATTTATTTCTTAAGTGTGGTTCTTTAAAGAGGGGCAGCAGGTTCCTTTAACACTGGGTCATGTTCAAGGTTGCAACATTTGTTATTTTCCTCCATTGTGGCACTCAGCAAACATTTTACTTCTCAGTTACTTATGTTTATTTTTAATAATAATTATAATTTATATGACATAAATTGTATATTTAAAATGTGTCCAACTTAATGAATTTTTGTAGATGATTTCATTCAGGAAACCATCACCACAATCAATGACCAAACACTTCCATCACTCTGAAAGCCTCACATACTTTAATAATTGTGATATATTCTCTACTCGTTGGGGCAGAAGCCAAGGAATTATACCTCTATTATTTTAGTAGCCTTTCTTACTCATCCATAAACATCAACTGTGTCTAGGATTACAAATGATTCCAAAACTTCCC